GTATTTGAGCTGTAAACAGATGAGCAGATACTTAAGAACATAGCCAATCGAAGATTGGAAAAGAGTAATGAACGCAAGTAACCATAAAAAACACTGACTTTCTTGAAAAATCTCAACTTTCGAATTTCAAAGAAAAAAATTGATGCTCTTTAAGCTCTTTGAATTTCTGCAACGGTTTGATTGGCACTTTTTTGATAACATGAAAACTTGAGAAAACTGGATCATCAGGTAAAGTTTTTATTCCGCGGGAAATCTAAAAACTAAATTCCACTTTGTAAATTAGAAATCAAACACAAATTTTTGCACCATTTGCACGTTCGTGTTTCGAGAGTGCTATTCACATTACTTTCAGCAGATGAATTTCAATTGAACTCAAAACGTGCGTTATAACTAAGTGCATCAACATTTTTAGGCTTTTTCCTAAAAAAAAATCTGCAAGACCTATATAAGAGAGTCTTCACTACGTTCATTACTCTTTAAATAACTGCCAATTTGGATTGAGAAAACAATCGGATTATTAAAGAAATATCTGCAGAAGCAAATGCTTGTGTTACAATAAGCATTTGCTTTGAAATTTTTTCTCAGCTCAATCATCATTGCAGAGATTTTCTATTAATACTTAATATCTTTTCTTGATTTTGAGCTTCTGAAAACATTTAGGTTGCTCGCTGGTTAAAGTCTTCTTCGGGCGTTACTGAGGCTGTAGAACCAGTTGGAGAAAACAGTCATTGCAATTTGAACCGGCTGGAATAAAATTAATAGACCCGCTATGAGGGCCTAGCGAATTTTTCTGCCAAACAGAATTTCTGCAGAGTAATTTCTCAAAATGTTTCATCAATAAAACGGTCACCATCTCAGTGGGCTTTGGCTTAAAGATGCAAAAAAAAGCTTAATAACTTAGACAAGAGAAGGTCAGAATAGTATACAAAGATGCGAAACGGAGTTTCGCACAACTTTCGATGCAACGCAAAAATAAAATCATAAGAAAGCAAAAAAATGAACAAGTTATAAATAAAAATGAACAACACGTTTGCATTTGCAACTACAATGAAAGTTGCTAACAGCATAAAAAATAATATGCCGACAATTTTTGAGCAGACGCAAATTTAGCAGCAAAAAAAAAGATTTTACGAATAAAAAATTTTCAAATCTTTCAAGTCCAACCCAGAAATAATAATAATAATAATAATAATAAACAAGGATTTAGACATAAAGCCATGGGGCTAAAATGCTCCGCGTTGGGAGTTTTAAACTGAGTTTTATAGTTTCTTTGAGTTTACACAGCTATTGCAGCAGTTTATTCTCCATGTGCATGGGACACTTTCCTCATATTTACTGATGAAATATATCCAGAAAACGTTTTTGAGGCTTGATTTGAGTCTTTCGTATTTCATCGCAAACAGGTCTTCTTCTTCCTGAGTCTGTAAAACTTTGTTTGCTAGTATAGGTGTTCTGTGCCAGAAATTGCTTTTCGATTTTTCGTAATGATAATTTTTATGCGCTAAGTTATTTTTCGTTGATCTTCTTGTTGGGGCTGTAGATTCTTTGAACTGAACAAATTGTCTCCAATGGAAGTTGTATTGGTCGTTTATTATTTTATGAAGCAAGAGAATGTCGTGCATTTCGTGGTAGAGAGACAGTGGAAGCAGGTTTAATCTAATCAGTCTGTCTTTATAGTTGATGTTGTTACATGACAGTATCCAACGTGTAGCTTTTCTTTGGACATCTTCAATAATTCTTAATTCACACTTATTTGCTTTCCATATGGGTGAGCCATATGACACAATTGGGGTTACATATCCACAGTAGGAGTTCAGTTTCATTTTTAAGCTCGCTGATTTTGAAATATTTCTTTTAATTAAAAATAAGCAGCCTATTGCTTTTTGGGCTCTTATTTTTGTGTGTGCTGACCAGTTTAGGTTGTTGGTTATTTGTATACCAAGGTCTTTTTCTGAACAGGTTTTTTTAAGTATATGGTCACCGAGATACATGTTTAGGTCAAGTTGGGGGTCTTTGAATATAATATTGTGACATTTTTTCAGATTAAGAGAAATAACAACACTTCCACTTGTAACAAGCAAGAATTTTTTATACAAACTGAAAAAAAAACAAGTTCCACCGAGATTCGAACTTCAGACCTTATATTGGAAAGAATCCTGGAAGATGTTAATGTTCAATAATAAAAGATTTGTATTCAGAACAGAATAAAGAAAAAAATGTGAGCCAACAAAACTGCTGTTGTCATGAAAAAATTTGAGCCATATAGTTATAAGTGTTTACGAACCATATAAAAGCCTAACAAAATATTTTACTTTCGAAACTATGCCATATAATTTGAGCCGAAACCGTTTAATCGAAAATAAAACCGAAAAAAATCAGAGATTACAGAGCTTTCAATTATAGTTAAAACAACTGTAATCTTAAAAAACCTATGCTATGGAAAGTAAGCCCATTAAATACTTACCAGATACTATAAACTGCACTTCGGGGAAAATATAAACTGGGTAAATGGATCGAGGCAAACTAGGACGAAAACCGCTACATCATTTTTTTCAAGTATTATATTTTTAATGATGGTAGTTCACTTAAATTATCAAGAAATTAAACATGTCAGCAGAGTGCAAGTCAGAAGTCGTGAAATTCACCATTTCCACTTAAATTGACCATTCTGTGAACAAATTTATTTACGGGAAATAACGTAATGGAAATCGACACAAAATTTATCACATTTTTAGAACTTTCAAACTTCGAAAAATGTCAGGTTTAATCTCTTTGAACTCCATAATCTTATAGTTGATGTTGTTACATGACAGTATCCAACGTGTAGCTTTTCTTTGGACATCTTCGATAATTCTTAATTCACACTTATTTGCTTTCCATATGGGTGAGCCATATGACACAATTGGGGTTACATATCCACAGTAGGAGTTCAGTTTCATTTTTAAGCTCGCTGATTTTGAAATATTTTTTTAAATTAAAAATAAGAAGCCTATTGCTTTTTGGGCTCTTATTTTTGTGTGTGCTGACCAGTTTAGGTTGTTGGTTATTTGTATACCAAGGTCTTTTTCTGAACAGGTTTTTTTAAGTATATGGTCACCGAGATACATGTTTAGGTCAAGTTGGGGGTCTTTGAATATTATATTGTGACATTTTTTCAGATTAAGAGAAATAACAACACTTCCACTTGTAACAAGCAAGAATTTTTTATACAAACTGAAAAAAAAACAAGTTCCACCGAGATTCGAACTTCAGACCTTATATTGGAAAGAATCCTGGAAGATGTTAATGTTCAATAATAAAAGATTTGTATTCAGAACAGAATAAAGAAAAAAATGTGAGCCAACAAAACTGCTGTTGTCATGAAAAAATTTGAGCCATATAGTTATAAGTGTTTACGAACCATATAAAAGCCTAACAAAATATTTTACTTTCGAAACTATGCCATATAATTTGAGCCGAAACCGTTTAATCGAAAATAATACCGAAAAAAATCAGAAATTACAGAGCTTTCAATTATAGTTAAAACAACTGTAATCTTAAAAAACCTATGCTATGGAAAGTAAGCCCATTAAATACTTACCAGATACTATAAACTGCACTTCGGGGAAAATATAAACTGGGTAAATGGATCGAGGCAAACTAGGACGAAAACCGCTACATCATTTTTTTCAAGTATTATATTTTTAATGATGGTAGTTCACTTAAATTATCAAGAAATTAAACATGTCAGCAGAGTGCAAGTCAGCAGTCGTGAAATTCACCATTTCCACTTAAATAGACCATTCTGTGAACAAATTTATTTACGGGAAATAACGTAATGGAAATCGACACAAAATTTATCACATTTTTAGAACTTTCAAACTTCGAAAAATGTCAGGTTTAATCTCTTTGAACTCCATAATCTTATGATTCACAATTTTATGATTGACACTTTTCTGCTAAAATGAACCCAATTTAAAAAAAACTGGATGAATGGGTAAATTTTAAATTCCGCTGGGAAACCTAATTCTTTTTTGCGCCGTTTCGACTTTCGTAATCGGAGATCGCAATTAAGTGCTTTGATAAACAAATGTATGATTGCATTTCTGTAGTTATTAAAAAATTTAAAGACTTTCCAGAAAACTAAACAAACAAAAAACCTTCAAGACCTATATAAAAGAAAACCACTTCCTTCTCTAACACTTCACAAAAAAAAACGGCTGGAATTTCTACCTTCAATTAGCTAAAGTTAGTTTACAGTAATTAACTATAAATTAACGCAAACTTATTTTTTTTATTTTTACACCAAGCTTGTTGATATAAGCATCTGAGTAAGGTAGGATAACTAAGTACGAGACAGCAAGGGAATAAACAAAACATGTGATGTTTGTCAGTTGCCTTAGTTTTTCTCTACAACTAGATGATTCAGTAGCTGAAGAATTAGCGTTTAAAAAGAAAAAGTAGCAATAGAAAACAGAAAAAAAGGCGTTTTGAAAAAAAATCCCTCTGCGACACAGACATGGAGCTGAACCGTTCAAGCCGACAACCATACATAACTATGCTACTGACACTTGAAGAGCCGAAACATTAGCCACGGATAAAGCGGAGAATACATGCTAAACTGCCAATACTATGGTGTGCAATCTGCAAGCATACAACTTTCACAGCATACGGTTCCCATACATTCCAAAAAACGTATTCTGTCCAAACAGCCTCAACAAAAAATAGAGGCTGCCGCATTGGCGTCAACGGATTGAGAGCTTGTCAACAGATGGTAGGACCAACCAGATACATTTGCATGCTGTTGGACCGGTAAGAGACTCAAGGTAAGTGAAGTGGTTGCGTGCTGCGGGCTTCGTAACCCAATATCTATGCAGCGAAAGTGCCAGCAAAAAGAACACTATTTAATGTAAGCTGGATTGAAAATAATTGAACTTGTAATATAACACAATACTCGAAAGCCTGCTTGTGTAAAAAACTACATATGGGATTTAGTAACTTTGCTAGCCGATTCAAAACAGTAAAATTATAGAGTTAAATTGGGTAAAAAGAAAGCTGTCATGAAAATAGAAACCCAGATACTATTTTTTTCAAATAATATGCTACACTATTTTATGGTACAGACTTGATTTCGGGCTCAGCATTAACTGATTTTTACATTAGAAAACTCAGAAAAAGATATACGTAAAGCGCCGATGAAGATTCGTTGGCAGTCTCAAATTGAACACTCAACCGACATAAATTATTAATGAAACAGTTTTCACAAAAAGCGAACAATTCAAATTCGAAAACGAGGTGGAAAACTGTTCAGATTAAAGCAACTAGTATCGATAACTCAAATTAATTTAAAAATTTAATTAAAATAGTAAGAATAGTCACAAAAATATCAGAAAACTCATAATCCATATAATTACATACATGCCAAATATCCTTCGATAGAACATTTGTTTTTTTACAAGAGTTTTTTTTTCAATCAAATGAGAGAATAAGACTAAAACCAGTTTGGAAAAAGACCGTTCATGTTTCGTGTAAGGGATTAGTCTGCAGTTTTTAATACAATTTAGGGACGTATAAGCGCCATGACAAATTTACAACTTCATTTTGAAAAGAAATGAACCAAAGATATGAAAAGAATAAGCCATGACTTCAGTTGTGACAAAATTGTAGGCATCGAATTAAGAAAATTGTTTGCGCCTAAGATCTACTCTAAAACATCAAATTCAATAATTCACAGTGTGATTTATAGTTATTCAGTTTTCAGCTTAGAAGCGAAACTTTTGAATCACAGCTGCATCCTGGATTAAAAGAGGTATCATATAAAGAGTGATCTGTTAGATTATGTCGGCAGCAGTAGGTTGAATGAAACAGTTTAGTTCGCAATTAAGAAGACTAGTAGCATCTTCCTTCCTCTTTCTACCACTGGTCTTTCAATACCCCACCCCCATCACCTCCCTTAAGCATATGGCAAGTAAAATACACTGAGCCTTGATTAATGAACCCATTGCATCATTGGCTGCTAATCAATGCCAATACCGTAATCATCAGAGCTGTTTTGGAGCAAATTGAATGAAATAGTCTTCATTTTGAAATAGTCTTAATTTTGATGAGAAAAAGAGGGAGAAGGGAAATGAAATTGATAATGATTTGTTTTTTATTGAGAATATAGAAGAAAAAAGATAAAGCTTTCAAGTTAAGACCAGGGACTAGAAAAGAAAAAACAAACTTGTTGCCCTTCTAGACATTGAGCTGCTTTGTTTAGGACTCGAAAAACATGCGCTTCCATTTGGCCATGTCTTTGGTGCAGATCGTCTTCTCCGCAAATGCGATGTCGTCCTTGATGGCCTTGATGAGATGTTTGACGTGGGTGAAGTTCCACTCGGGTCTGATGTAGCCGGCGATTAGCACTCGCAGTTCCACACCGTAGAACTCGTTGGGGAAGTCGTGGATGATGTGGGTCTCGGCCGAGAGCTTCTCGTTCTGATAGAACGGGTTCCACCCGCACGACATCACCATGTTGAACACCTCTTGGCTGTACGAGGGCACTTGTGCCAGTCCAAAGTAGATACCTGCCAAACAACACACTCATATCATTATCATGCCCAACAGACAATTGGAAAAGAGAAGAGTCAATGAACGCAATGACACAAAAAAGACAACTTTCGAAACAAAAAACCACTTTCGAAACTGGAAGCCAATCACGCTCTTCTTGACCTTAACAATTTAGCTGTTCGATAGTGGAGTTTACTTGAAAAGAAATGAACTTACTGAAGTTGAAAAAATCAAACCGCGAAAAAGTGAATTTGAGCCTGAACAAATTTGAAACTTTTCCAGAAAAAAAAAACAAAAAAAATCATCAGCACCTATATAAGAGTCTGAACTATATTAAAACAGATTCACAATCAATTGAAGTTGATACCATTTGGAGAGAACTTTGTCTAGAAATCGCGAACATGATGACATTGCAATAAATTCAATATCCTTTTTTATGCATTGATGCAGCAAATAAACGTTTGTTCTTTACGGAGAAAGTGATTAACACAATCGGGAATCAACATTGACATATGAAGTGATTGGAAAATCTCCAATGATTTCAAATAAAACCCGGCTAAAAAGCTTACCTGGTTTCATTTCTAGAAGACATTCATTTAAAAATCCAACAAAACCAGTTTCTGACAACTCAACTCAAATGCTTTTTAAACTATAGCCCATATTGTACCTGTTTTGAAGTTCTTGGGAAGTGATTTGATAACGGACTCTGCAAAGTTGGCAGTTGGGATGCCCAGTTGTTTGCTCCCTCTCCCAAACCCCTTGACAACATCTCCAAACAGAAAGATTGGATGATCCAGCCATAGCATAGTGAGAGATCGGGGCTTAAATAAAGAAGAAGGAGTGCAAATAAACATTGAAACTATCGCTCCATAAATAAGCAAAGCATCAACTGTCAATTTATTTGAGCACTTATCCCACATTCGGTGGCCACAGCCGATTGATTTATTGTGGAAAAAAGGATAGAGCAGCGAAACAGAATGTATCTCTCGAATGAATGGTGATACTTAGCTAGCATAATTATGAATAACATGTTTTCTGAGAAGCAACTGACCTTCCTCTCAATCTTCTGTTCCGCTTCATCTCCACACTTGTCTGGGTTGATGATTGGCAGTAGAGGCGATGAACTCATTTTACCACTCTGTTTTCCACTCTGCACTCGTTATGTTATGTTCTGTTGGTTTAAACTTGTACCTAGCATACAATTTGCATTTAAAATCAACTCTCCTATTATCTAACATTAAATCGAGACTAATGCAAGTTTGCGTCCAGCTTACTTGATTATTCTTGCCAGTAGAAATTCCACAAATGCGGCAGCTAATTAAGCCATTCGTCATTCAATGATAATATTCCAAGTGTAGCTTCAAGTGTGACCTCAGATTGATTTAGCTTCTATATAATCAGTTTCACTGATCTATCGCTTTCAAAACTACCTGAAAAAAATCGGATCAAATGAGCAATATCACCACGTAATAACCAATTGAGGTATCTCCCCTACCCAATCAAAAACTGTAAAATGCTACAAAAAACATTTACAAACGCAAGCAGATGGTTGATGTGTTCATAGCACGCAATCCATTGGCCTACAGTTTATTTTACATGAGTCGAAACATTTTTTTTGAAAACATCGAGTTTTTCAAGGATTTTTTTTGTGAATTTTTGTTTGGGTGAACATAGCCTTGAGGAAAACAATTAACTAGATTTGGATCTGAATATAGAGTTGGTGTTCTAGATTTGCATCTGAATATCGAAAAATATTCTCTGCAGCACCTGAATAATGTAAGCAAAGCATTTTTCATCTTTCAAGACTAAAATTCTATTTCCAAGCAAACTAAAAGCATACTACTCCCAATTTCTTATTTTCGTAGGGCAACAGCGCCCACTGTGTTTTTAAGTTCTACTCCTTGTATCAATTAAGCATTCACTTGCAATCAAAAATTGCTACTCAAAAAGTTCTGACGTAGAAGGCACAAGGAAATGAGGATGAATCTAACAGCGTAATTTGTCTCAACGCACATACCATTTACCACCAGTTCCGCAATCTCTGTAAGGCCATTTACGGCTTTTTTTATAACGAATTTGTAAGATTTGATGCGCCGGAAGAGAAACACTCAAGTAGATGCTTGGCAAGAGCCAACAATGAGACTAAGCCATTGGAAAACAGCGGCGTCACCATATGAAATTGAATGGCCAATACAGCTTCAAGCTGGAAAAAGCCATCACTCGGATCCATCTTCACTTCGGGTTTTTCGAAAATCAATCACCAGGGTTTATTTTAATTAACATTAAAACAAAGACAGAAAACAAACGAAGCAACGCAAACAGTCAAGAAAACGATACAAATGTCAAAAAACATCTTAATTTTGTTAAGATGCGGTCTTTGAGGGGATGCATTTTTATTTTCATATTTCTTCTATGCAAATCCGAAAGAGAGCGAAATCATAAACAAAATAATTTTGTTCTATTCCCTTTACAAAGAAAAATATTGCTGAATAAGCACAAATTTTAGAATTTCGTTCGAATCCTCTCAAACCACAACGGACAAAAAAGGACAAAACTTTAAGATAGTTTTTTAAGCTTCATTTTGTGGTAGAAAATAAATTTCGTTGCTACGTGCACAGCGACCGGCATCTTTATCCAATATTATTTTTTAAAATGATATATTCAATAAAGTATAAGACCAATCATTCAATCGCCAATATATTCCAAAAGCTCGGAAAAGTTTTCTTGAAATGACGAATTTGTTTTTTTTTCAAATTTAAAAACTGCGAGGAAAACAAACAAAAATGAAAATAATTCCGATCACATCTAGGATCTGACAATCAGAAAATCAAGAGCTAAAGAAGAAACAAGGATGAACGGTTGGTGTGCAAATAGTAGAATGTTCCGATCACATTTATCTGCAAAGCAATTGAACAATGCGAAGAAAAACAATGTCGAACAAGTCCAATTTACTATGGCTATCGACTAAGCCTAAATTTCTGGTTTCTTTCAGATCCTCTTAGACCACTACGGACAAAAATCGCCAAAATTAAAACATAAAAATAATTTTTCAAAGTTTAATTAATGTGATATTGTTTTAGCTGCGAACAGTAGGGGTCGTCCAAATAGTGTTTCTAATATCTCTTATTTCCAGTACTCCACAACTGAAGATTGTAGAGATTTATTCATCGTTTCGTCTCGTCCATCAAACAGTAACTAGGGTCCCCTTCTGACATTACTGGTTAAAACCCGTTCTAGGGGGCAGTTTGTAACTAGTGCGGTGAACAGAGAAAAATTCCTAGTGTGCCTCGATATGTTGCTAAAATGAGCCATTTTGCGACTGCAACGAAGTTGTACTACATGTCGTCAAGTTTTAGAGATTTTGGCTTTGATGGACAGTTAAAGAGTTGGTGAATTCCATGCGATCTAGCATTAAAGTTTGGTCAATTGTTTTCGATGTTTTTGCTCAGCCTGCACAGGTGGCTTTTAAATTGTGTTTTACATCCACAGAGGAGTTAAGCAAGAGTACGTTGAGCCAGAGTACAGCGGAGTTTGAGATCCTATCAGTTTAAAGGGAGGCTTTGTAACGTATTTATTTACTCATTTGAACGAATTGTCTTAGGAGCGACTTTGGATTGATCTGGTGTAAAACTTGTTTAATTTTACTTTCTTCAAACCACTCATCCTATGAATTATAAGACTGCTTATTCAATCGCCAATCAATATAGTCTAGGAGCTCAAAAACATTTTTCTGGAAAGAATGAATAGTTTTTGGAACTTTTTCAAACTACAAATCAACAAATTGAGAGCTCTGACGTTTGTTTGCAGAGCCTATCATGACCAGGAAAGCAAACCAAATCGAAGATTATTCCCACCATATCTGTGATGTGACGAAAAAAAAACAGGACCCAAAACAAACAAAGATTGACGGTTAGCGTGCAAGTAGCACAATTGTGCAAGAAGCACAAACATGACCATATTAATATACGTAAAGCAAACTAAAAATGAAGAAACCTTTTTTTCAAACATTGCTATTCATTTTTACGGTGGTGAGAGGAGGGAAAACAACATACATTTAAAACGCTTTAATAGAAAATTAGTCTGATAAATGGAAAAACTCCATAAATAGAAGACCAGTGTTTCTCAACGCTGAAACAATTTCTGAATTTCTGAACTACTATGGTATCCGAGTCACTGCCGAAAGGACTTCTATATGATACCACACTTGACCCTCTACGAGGTTTATTTAATTTGCCTGAACAGCTAAAAACTACACCCACCGCAATACATCCTTCCCACTACTTGGCGAACTGGACGGAAAAAAATCATGCTAGGGAAAGTAAGCCGACAAAAGAATACAAATGATAGAACGACAATTGAAGCTTTCACAAAAATCATTTTTCGAAGATTAACAACTCCAACCCGGGATTATTTGTTCCAAAGGCGCGTTCTTTACTTCTAGGCCAATTTAGAAGGGAAATGGTAGATCAGGGGCGGATTTAGGGGGGGGGGGCGGACGCCCCCCCCCCTCAGGGATTCGACCCTCTGCCGACCCAAAGGGTCCCCCCTTTGATACTTTTTCAGAAATCCATTTTTGGCCGACCGACCCTAAAATTTTTCTAAAGGCGCCTTCGGCGCCAATATATACTAACTTTGAGGGGGAGCGCGCGCCAAAAAAACGCGATTTTTTGTCAAAATTTTTCAAAAAGTGCCCAAAAACGGCTTTTTTTACTGTTTTTTTCAAAAATTTGCCTGCGGCGCAGAAAATTTTGCAAAAATAGGGGCAAAACAGTGCTTTGGGAGAGCTCGAAAAATCTATTTGGTCGACCTAAAAAAAAAAAAAAAGGTCGACAAAAATTTGGAAAATTTTTTGAAAATCCGCCCCCCCCCCTCGAGAAAATCCTAGATCCGCCCCTGTGGTAGATGCTGAGGTTCCATAAAAAAGCAAGGTCACTTTCCTCCAGATGTGTAATGAAAGTTATTAACAGGAAAAAGACTTATTTCCTTATTACAAGTACACCTGCTCTCGCAAGGGAAAAGAAACCAGCAGCCAAGACATCAAATTAAAAACATGAGGAAGCATAAAGGTTTTCTTTTAAGTACTTTAAATGATACTTGCTGTCTGTGTCAATGATGTGTGTTTTCCATGTATGTGAAATCGAATAAAACAACTAAAATTATAGTCTTTCCAGTTTCATCATCAATTTTATAGAAATAGACTTTTTAAAAACTCTGGTTTGCTTTCTTGGACAGACTTTCGCGTTAAAGTTTTTCAAAAACTAGTTTTTTTTTCACAATAAAAAAACACGCGTATCCCATGCTATGGTTCTACGGAATGTTTGAAAGCTTTTAACTTGCAGCAGTTGCAAGTGTTCGGAACTTTCACGTGGAATTCAGGAAAATATACATATAAATCAATATTCAGTTCATCATATTGCCGATTGATTTATTGTGGAAAAAAGGATAGAGCAGCGAAACAGAATGTATCTCTCGAATGAATGGTGATACTTAGCTAGCATAATTATGAATAACATGTTTTCTGAGAAGCAACTGACCTTCCTCTCAATCTTCTGTTCCGCTTCATCTCCACACTTGTCTGGGTTGATGATTGGCAGTAGAGGCGATGAACTCATTTTACCACTCTGTTTTCCACTCTGCACTCGTTATGTTATGTTCTGTTGGTTTAAACTTGTACCTAGCATACAATTTGCATTTAAAATCAACTCTCCTATTATCTAACATTAAATCGAGACTAATGCAAGTTTGCGTCCAGCTTACTTGATTATTCTTGCCAGTAGAAATTCCACAAATGCGGCAGCTAATTAAGCCATTCGTCATTCAATGATAATATTCCAAGTGTAGCTTCAAGTGTGACCTCAGATTGATTTAGCTTCTATATAATCAGTTTCACTGATCTATCGCTTTCAAAACTACCTGAAAAAAATCGGATCAAATGAGCAATATCACCACGTAATAACCAATTGAGGTATCTCCCCTACCCAATCAAAAACTGTAAAATGCTACAAAAAACATTTACAAACGCAAGCAGATGGTTGATGTGTTCATAGCACGCAATCCATTGGCCTACAGTTTATTTTACATGAGTCGAAACATTTTTTTTGAAAACATCGAGTTTTTCAAGGATTTTTTTTGTGAATTTTTGTTTGGGTGAACATAGCCTTGAGGAAAACAATTAACTAGATTTGGATCTGAATATAGAGTTGGTGTTCTAGATTTGCATCTGAATATCGAAAAATATTCTCTGCAGCACCTGAATAATGTAAGCAAAGCATTTTTCATCTTTCAAGACTAAAATTCTATTTCCAAGCAAACTAAAAGCATACTACTCCCAATTTCTTATTTTCGTAGGGCAACAGCGCCCACTGTGTTTTTAAGTTCTACTCCTTGTATCAATTAAGCATTCACTTGCAATCAAAAATTGCTACTCAAAAAGTTCTGACGTAGAAGGCACAAGGAAATGAGGATGAATCTAACAGCGTAATTTGTCTCAACGCACATACCATTTACCACCAGTTCCGCAATCTCTGTAAGGCCATTTACGGCTTTTTTTATAACGAATTTGTAAGATTTGATGCGCCGGAAGAGAAACACTCAAGTAGATGCTTGGCAAGAGCCAACAATGAGACTAAGCCATTGGAAAACAGCGGCGTCACCATATGAAATTGAATGGCCAATACAGCTTCAAGCTGGAAAAAGCCATCACTCGGATCCATCTTCACTTCGGGTTTTTCGAAAATCAATCACCAGGGTTTATTTTAATTAACATTAAAACAAAGACAGAAAACAAACGAAGCAACGCAAACAGTCAAGAAAACGATACAAATGTCAAAAAACATCTTAATTTTGTTAAGATGCGGTCTTTGAGGGGATGCATTTTTATTTTCATATTTCTTCTATGCAAATCCGAAAGAGAGCGAAATCATAAACAAAATAATTTTGTTCTATTCCCTTTACAAAGAAAAATATTGCTGAATAAGCACAAATTTTAGAATTTCGTTCGAATCCTCTCAAACCACAACGGACAAAAAAGGACAAAACTTTAAGATAGTTTTTTAAGCTTCATTTTGTGGTAGAAAATAAATTTCGTTGCTACGTGCACAGCGACCGGCATCTTTATCCAATATTATTTTTTAAAATGATATATTCAATAAAGTATAAGACCAATCATTCAATCGCCAATATATTCCAAAAGCTCGGAAAAGTTTTCTTGAAATGACGAATTTGTTTTTTTTTCAAATTTAAAAACTGCGAGGAAAACAAACAAAAATGAAAATAATTCCGATCACATCTAGGATCTGACAATCAGAAAATCAAGAGCTAAAGAAGAAACAAGGATGAACGGTTGGTGTGCAAATAGTAGAATGTTCCGATCACATTTATCTGCAAAGCAATTGAACAATGCGAAGAAAAACAATGTCGAACAAGTCCAATTTACTATGACTATCGACTAAGCCTAAATTTCTGGTTTCTTTCAGATCCTCTTAGACCACTACGGACAAAAATCGCCAAAATTAAAACATAAAAATAATTTTTCAAAGTTTAATTAATGTGATATTGTTTTAGCTGCGAACAGTAGGGGTCGTCCAAATAGTGTTTCTAATATCTCTTATTTCCAGTACTCCACAACTGAAGATTGTAGAGATTTATTCATCGTTTCGTCTCGTCCATCAAACAGTAACTAGGGTCCCCTTCTGACATTACTGGTTAAAACCCGTTCTAGGGGGCAGTTTGTAACTAGTGCGGTGAACAGAGAAAAATTCCTAGTGTGCCTCGATATGTTGCTAAAATGAGCCATTTTGCGACTGCAACGAAGTTGTACTACATGTCGTCAAGTTTTAGAGATTTTGGCTTTGATGGACAGTTAAAGAGTTGGTGAATTCCATGCGATCTAGCATTAAAGTTTGGTCAATTGTTTTCGATGTTTTTGCTCAGCCTGCACAGGTGGCTTTTAAATTGTGTTTTACATCCACAGAGGAGTTAAGCAAGAGTACGTTGAGCCAGAGTACAGCGGAGTTTGAGATCCTATCAGTTTAAAGGGAGGCTTTGTAACGTATTTATTTACTCATTTGAACGAATTGTCTTAGGAGCGACTTTGGATTGATCTGGTGTAAAACTTGTTTAATTTTACTTTCTTCAAACCACTCATCCTATGAATTATAAGACTGCTTATTCAATCGCCAATCAATATAGTCTAGGAGCTCAAAAACATTTTTCTGGAAAGAATGAATAGTTTTTGGAACTTTTTCAAACTACAAATCAACAAATTGAGAGCTCTGACGTTTGTTTGCAGAGCCTATCATGACCAGGAAAGCAAACCAAATCGAAGATTATTCCCACCATATCTGTGATGTGACGAAAAAAAAACAGGACCCAAAACAAACAAAGATTGACGGTTAGCGTGCAAGTAGCACAATTGTGCAAGAAGCACAAACATGACCATATTAATATACGTAAAGCAAACTAAAAATGAAGAAACCTTTTTTTCAAACATTGCTATTCATTTTTACGGTGGTGAGAGGAGGGAAAACAACATACATTTAAAACGCTTTAATAGAAAATTAGTCTGATAAATGGAAAAACTCCATAAATAGAAGACCAGTGTTTCTCAACGCTGAAACAATTTCTGAATTTCTGAACTACTATGGTATCCGAGTCACTGCCGAAAGGACTTCTATATGATACCACACTTGACCCTCTACGAGGTTTATTTAATTTGCCTGAACAGCTAAAAACTACACCCACCGCAATACATCCTTCCCACTACTTGGCGAACTGGACGGAAAAAAATCATGCTAGGGAAAGTAAGCCGACAAAAGAATACAAATGATAGAACGACAATTGAAGCTTTCACAAAAATCATTTTTCGAAGATTAACAACTCCAACCCGGGATTATTTGTTCCAAAGGCGCGTTCTTTACTTCTAGGCCAATTTAGAAGGGAAATGGTAGATCAGGGGCGGATTTAGGGGGGGGGGGCGGACGCCCCCCCCCCCCCCCCTCAGGGATTCGACCCTCTGCCGACCCAAAGGGTCCCCCCTTTGATACTTTTTCAGAAATCCATTTTTGGCCGACCGACCCTAAAATTTTTCTAAAGGCGCCTTCGGCGCCAATATATACTAACTTTGAGGGGGAGCGCGCGCCAAAAAAACGCGATTTTTTGTCAAAATTTTTCAAAAAGTGCCCAAAAACGGCTTTTTTTACTGTTTTTTTCAAAAATTTGCCTGCGGCGCAGAAAATTTTGCAAAAATAGGGGCAAAACAGTGCTTTGGGAGAGCTCGAAAAATCTATTTGGTCGACCTAAAAAAAAAAAAAAAGGTCGACAAAAATTTGGAAAATTTTTTGAAAATCCGCCCCCCCCCCTCGAGAAAATCCTAGATCCGCCCCTGTGGTAGATGCTGAGGTTCCATAAAAAAGCAAGGTCACTTTCCTCCAGATGTGTAATGAAAGTTATTAACAGGAAAAAGACTTATTTCCTTATTACAAGTACACCTGCTCTCGCAAGGGAAAAGAAACCAGCAGCCAAGACATCAAATTAAAAACATGAGGAAGCATAAAGGTTTTCTTTTAAGTACTTTAAATGATACTTGCTGTCTGTGTCAATGATGTGTGTTTTCCATGTATGTGAAATCGAATAAAACAACTAAAATTATAGTCTTTCCAGTTTCATCATCAATTTTATAGAAATAGACTTTTTAAAAACTCTGGTTTGCTTTCTTGGACAGACTTTCGCGTTAAAGTTTTTCAAAAACTAGTTTTTTTTTCACAATAAAAAAACACGCGTATCCCATGCTATGGTTCTACGGAATGTTTGAAAGCTTTTAACTTGCAGCAGTTGCAAGTGTTCGGAACTTTCACGTGGAATTCAGGAAAATATACATATAAATCAATATTCAGTTCATCATATTGCAGTCAATTAATTCTTGTTTGCTGAATTTCTTTAGGGCATCAAATGTTACTTGAACGGCAATGTTTTCGTTGCCGATTGTTTTCACGGCCCCAGTTAAATTTGCAACAGGAAATACGGATCAATCGTTTTAACTGCAAATGAACATAACATATAGACATTAGAAACCATCCGAGAGCAACTGAAGGTGGCTAGATATTCAGCATGACATCATTTTATTTCCATGCGACCTATTCCATTATACCACAAAATTTTCTACAGCACGTTGGTGATATATTTATTGGTAACTGTGCAGCATGTATTAGTTTACCTATAGCCACCAACCATCAACAAAATCGGGGAAAAGTCCAATTTGCTATCATTTCTACAAGCCGCATTTGTTTTAAGCATAACTGGGTATTTTCTAAGAGCTGAAATACTTGAATGTAAAATAGAAACTGAATGTAGAAAAATAGAACCTTTCAGAGGCTGATTGAACTTTCGACTTTATAACTTTTCGGCATGTTGGCCTGCCGCCTATCAAAGCACACGATAGACGCTCCCATGACTTAAGGTACCATTTACCATTTTAACCAAATACAGTAAATTCATACACGCAAGCACAATAGCGGGATAGTCTACTAGAATTAGTCGCCCCTTCGTACGTGCTACCCTCTTTCTTTGCTAAGCGAACAGGAATCAAGCTAACATTTGCACTACCAACGCATTAAACACGACATATTAGCAAGCAGAGTAGTAGCATGCTACTTAGCACAACGTAAAAACAAATTCCCGTAAAAATTGCTGCGAATTTTGGAAGCGTACGGTCGAAAAGTAACCCATCAAAAGCTTACTCCAAAAACTTGGGTAACACAAACTACATTTACCCTGCGTTTGATACATTGACCCAAGAAACCCGCAGCCCGGGTGCTGTAAATACGGGGGGCTCACCCACGTCACGTAGATGGCCTAGTTTCAAGAAAGCTCTTCCTTTCACTCGATCTATTAGTGGGGACCGTTTAGACCGAAGACAAAAGCGAGAAAAACGTGTTCAAACACAGTCTGCCATATTTCGTGGATCAAACATAGGCAGCACAGGCTATTCTGGCGCGAGTGACACAAACTTCAGCAGACTTACTTCACTTCTTTCATTCAATCCTCAAAATCAATCAAAATCCAACCCAACACAAAAAGCCACGCAGGGTAACCGCAACGTCAATAGTTCTCATATTCGAAATTCACCTTCAAGTGATTTGACAAGAACTGAGTCATATATGGCTGCCAGCGCCAACGACTCCCAATATCCCAGTCTGCTAGACGAAAGCGACGAGTTTAACAACAGTCAAGTAACTACTTCACGCGAGGCGCGTGAGCAAAGAATGACTCAGCGTGCTCGGGATGTTCTCATGGATGATTTATATACTATGTTTGTGCAGCGTGAAAGATGCGGGGCCGACTTCAAGTTCAAATGCGGCACTAAGATTTTCAAGTGTCATCGTTCATTTCTGATGGCCCGCATGAGGATTTACTACTCGGGTCTGGGCGACAAAATTGGTATCGTGACTCTGCCTAAACATTTCCAACCAGATGCTTTCGAAGGTTAGTTCGTAAATACTCGATCAGAAACTACGTAAACAGAAAAGCAAACCACAACCTTGAATTAGATTATTATTGAGATAACTTATAATAAGAGGTAGGGTTTGAGTTTAAAAAATTCAGTCTGCCTTGAAAACATTTCCGGAAAAGTAAATCCTTTATTGATTACCAAAATAGGTCTTATTTCATGAAAACTTAATCATAAAATTTCAATAAGTATCTGAAGTATCTAAAAATGAAGTATTCAACAAATGTAACTAGCCCATCAAAATCTTTTTCAAAACTAAATTTCAACATCTCTGCATGTTCGGAATTTTTGTACCATTGTACATAAAAAAACAATCATTTTTTAACAATACATACTGTTTACCATTTTAGAAATAGGGAAATGCCGGAACCCGACCAAAAAATCAGTATATTAAAAAACAATTCATGTTTTTGGGTGTCAAATAGCTATTTGCTTATAATGAATGTTTCAATAGCCCCTTCCAGGATTTGAAACCACCTTGAGATTTTGAAAATCCATATTCTGCTGAAATATTTTCAGCATCCAGAATCTCGAAACAATTCTTTCAAATGCAAATCAAAATCACAACAAATATCAAGATAAACTTTTTTCACAGTAGCTAATCAAGTATTTCAAATCAGCAACTATAAAAAGCTATAATGAAAACAAAAAACGACCAAACTTTGCTCTCGAATAAGTTGGCGATATTTAAATCAATTGGTGAACGATACTGAAACTAATATTATTTTCAGTATCGCTCACTAATTGATTTAAAGGTGAAGTTACTCGAACAAAGCATGGTATTTTTCGGAAGAGAAAAACATCTACAAAACAATCAATTTAAAAAAATGATTGAACCGTAGATAATCATGAGGTTTCGAAAAAAAATTAATGAGCTTTTTATATTCTGTGCCAAGGACAGTTCGTTGCTGTCCAACTAGCACAGAAAGTTCTGGCCATAAAAAACTTGTTTGATTTTGGTACAACTAAAGGATCCCAATGTCAGATCCTAGAACATAGTCAGATCCGCAAGTAGAAGTAATTTAGGCAGGTTTGACCAGTTTTCTTCGAAGATAAATAAAAAAAGCAAAATGATAGCTCACAAATTTATATTCTCGAGAAGGCGCTAAAGGAAACTTGGTTCATTATTTTGATGTGACAAAAATAAGTACGCTTATCCTCCTATTATAAACTTACTTGCTTGCTTTATTAGCTCGAAATTGAACAAAAAAATCAAAAATTTCAAATTGTTTTTCTCAGACACAGAGAAAAACAAGTAAGATTTGTAGGAAAAGTTAACTAAGGAACAAAGTCCAGTTCCCGATACCAAGACACTTGCTTACGCAACTTGAATTAAACTTAAAAACAAATACAAAGTTGAACCGCAAAAGATCCAATTTGGCGTGGTCAAAACTTCAGACTTTTTCCCAAAACAAATCATCTCGACTTATCTTTACTACTTCACTACGTACCTAGACACTTGACAAAGGATGATAGTAATTCGTTCATTCCACTGGGAACTGAAAAACTAAATCAAATTTGTGAACCGCCATGCATCTTGTAGAAGCGCCATTTTTTTTACTGCTGAGGAGCGCAATTTCAGCCTCACCTGAGAAATGAATTTAATGAACAAGCCTCCAAATATATCAAAACAAAGCCATCAAATCTAACTTCAAAGCTTCTTCGTGACAAACTATACGACTGAAATAACTAAAACTCACTTGGTATATTATCACTTGAAAATCTATTTCCAGTTTCAACATTTAATATTTCAACATTTAGGTAGTTAAGTCGTTTTTTTAAGCAAACTCGGATTAATTAGCTAGTTCCTAAGAACATAGCTAAACTGACAGTTAGAAAAGAATAATGAACGAAAAAGTAAACCTAAAAAAACATTGACCTAGTGGAAAAATCTCAACTTTTGAATATCAAACAAAAAATATATGGCCTTAAAGCTCTTTGAATTTCAAGGGAAATTTATAATTGGCAATTTTTTGAGAAAACTGGATTACTACGAAAAGTTTTTATTCCGCTGGGAAATCTGTAAACTAAATCCCACTTTCGATACTAGAAACCGATCATGTTTTATTTCGCGCTATTTCAGCTTTCATAAATGAGGGTGCAAAAAAAACGAACACTCGAAGACAAAGTTCCTCGCTACTTTCTCTATTTCATCCGCTCTTCGCTACATTTGTTTCACTGCCTTCGGGTTTTTTTAGAATGTAACGGAAGCTTTTGATGAATTAATTTTTTAGAAAATAGCTGAAATTAATCAAAACCAATGCAAACTCCCTGAACATAATCAAAACCAATGCAAACTCCAAAGCATATTGTCAAGAAAATGACGCATGATATACAAAATGGACATTTTGGCAATTAGAAAAAACGATCTTTTCAGCGGTGCTCATGTATATCTACACGGCCAAGTTGCCAGTCGGCTTCACCCAGATGGCTCTGGGAATCCTTCCCATTTCCAACTACTTCTCCTGCGACGACCTCATCAACAGGTGCGAGCTGGAACTGGTAAACAATCTGCAGCCAGAGAATGCAGTCACCACCCTGGATGTGGCCAGGAAAGAATCCAGGGAACATCTCCAATACAAAGCTGCGAAATTCATCAAAGTATACCTTTCTTCTTTCCCAAAAACTGAATACTACAATAGAGCATTGGATGAGTGATAGACATCAATATTTCAAATTCAAACAAACTGCAAACACAACAAAAAAATTGGCCATTCGTTTTTTAACATCGCTGCTATTTTTTCAGAAAAATATCGACTCAGTCAGGAGAACGGAAAGCTACCGGGCCTTCCTGGATGCAGATGAGGGGAACTGTCGACTGCTACTCGACATTGTCACTCAGACTCTGAAGCGACCGACAAGTGTCTGCAGCAACCCAGGGTCACCATCGCCACCACCTTACGACCCGAGCGCACCCGCGTCCCGATTCTCGCTATCTGACAACGCCGAGTGCTTCATTCCAATCTGAACTTTGCAGACAAATCAAAGTCAAATTAAAACCATACATCAAACACTTAGTGCTTTAACCTAACCAATTCATACCGACTCGCCTAGTTTAGAGTGAACTCACAATGGTCGATGTTGCTACCGTGTCCATTAGAGAAAATTAAATGTTATGCTGTGTTAGTTGGAAAAATGTCATCATTTAGATAAATAAATTTACTTTTCTAGTGAATGTTTGAATTTAATTTGAGCAAAAACAAGTCTAATTGAACGCAGGCTACTTCAAGTTCAAATTGTTCTAAGCAAATTGAAGGTACAAAATTTGACACGTTTTCTTGAGAATTTCAATAAATAAAATGTTTAGCATCTTCTGATAGAAGATTAAGATGATGACGGTATTAACCCACTGAGATGAAGGAAATCGGCTACTTTCTTGTTCACGCCTTCTTTATCTCGGAACCTTGCTCTGACGTCATCGAACGAGTTTCCGTCGCCTATTTTTTTGAGTAAATTCAACTTGATAGTAATATACTTGGCAGGTTTTATTTCATACCTGTCACAGAACTGTTCCTCCTCTTTGCTGAGATTGTCGTGTCCGTTTTCGCACGATTTGTGTTCACCACCTGCTCCAACTGATGAACTCCTGGTTGAACTACTTGAAACCTCATGTTCCAACTGCTTTCTGACCTCTTTGTCTACTTCGGCCGACGCGAAACTTTCCCGTAGCATTGCTTCGCCGCAATCTTCCAATGTTCTACAGCCACGTTTGCGGAAAAACTGCAGACACTTCAGTTGAGCTCTAACTTTTCTTTCTTCGGACAAATCTCGAAACAATTGGTTCGCCTCAGATTCACAAATTGTCTGAAGAAAAGCCAGAGCAGCTGATTTATCTGCATCAGTAGTATTTGCAGTTTCAGTGCTACTTATAATTTCATTCCATACTTTACATTTTTCTCTGTAGAACCCCCGAATGTCGCCTGATTTTTGAGTTGAACAACTGCTATTTTTGGAAGAACTCGAACTGGCTTCTTTGGTTTCTCTGAAAAATTCTGGTATGACTGAGTAATCGTGTGCAACATCATGCCTCCTTTGACGCTCTGTGATTCTTCGTCTAAACATGTGAACTTGCGCGACTTTGAGCTCGAATTGTAACGAGTTCATCTCCATGTCAAAGCATCCAGGGTCACCAAATGGACTCAAATCTGCTATATCAGTTTCAGCCGCATTGTCGAAATCTAATTCAAAGTCGTCTCTTAACGGTAAATATGCCATCAACTGTTGTTGTTCTCTTTCCACACTTGTTTTTCTCCCAACAATCATATCTTTGAGAGGGTCACAACCTTCACTGTAGTTTATTGCACTATCATACACAGTTCCAAATTGCTCCGCAGACAAGGTCTCGTCTCCTATGTTTGAGCTAACGTACGTTTCCTCGAAGTGATTGAAGGCCTCTTGAGGGGACCTGGTTGCAATGAGTTTTGATACATCTTCCCAGTTGCCCAATCCGAAATGCTCGATGGCTTCTAACAAAGCTACTTCTTCTCTAGCAGTCCAATCGCAACACTCGTACAAGACAAACTCGCCACGGCCACATTCCTTTTTTTTAACAGACATTCTGAAGAGAGAGAGAGAGAGACAGACATTGGTAACAACATAGCCAACAGACAGTTAGAAAAAAGTAAATGAACGCAAGGGAAATGAAAAAAATATATATTTCTCTGAAAAAACTTGTAACTTAAAAGAAAAAACGTATGGCCCTTAGGTCTTCAGATTTCAAGAATAATTTATCATTGACACTTTTTAGATAAAATATCTCAATTTGAAAAAAAAATTCTGATTACGCTAGGAAACCTAAAACTGAAATCCTTTCTCGAAATTAGAAGTCGATGACGCTTTTCGTGACCTTAAAACTTTTGCTGTTCGATAGTGGAGTTTGCCTTCCTTTTAACAAAAGAAATGAACTAAACACAAAAATCAGAACACAGACCGTGAGAAAAAAATCAAAAATGTGTGTAAGTGGAGATCGCAATTTGCCCTCCTACTGGCAAATGAGCTTGAAAATAAATCAAAAGTCAAGCCAGATAACAGCAAATGTGGCGAGAAAAAAATGATTACTTTTCCTTAAAAAAAAAACAAAGAAATCATCAAGACCTATTTTTGAATTCAATATCTCACCAAATCAAATTTTGTAAATTATTTCAAACTGTAGCATTGACAAGTAGCGATCGCTTGCTCCGTTTCGTTCTGCTGCGCTCACATTCGTCACGAGGTATAAGGCGCTCAAATCAGTGTGTTGCCGCTAATATTACCTACACTGACAGAGATTTGTTCCATTGTTTTATTCAGGTGGCGAGTTGTGTGTTTCAAACCAAATTTGCGATTACGCAGCTCAAGTAGCTAGAAACTTCCGAACAGTTTCGAATATGGAAACAATGACAATTCAAAAATTTAAAACAATTCCAAGAGTTACATTCGCTTTGTCACCACTTGTTTTTTCACGTTCACCATTACCTTTAGCCATTTCAAAAAACTACACATTAAAAACTTAGACTTCGAGCTGCCGTTTGCTCTATACAGTCTTAAAGTTCAAAAGTTGTTAAAAAATCGAATAACGACAAAAAGGGCTCAACGCGATCTATACGTGGTCCATGTGGAGCTTCGGACCACTTTCAATATCACACAAACATAATAGCCTTGCAAGCTAGCAGACAGAAAGTCGAAGAAAAGCCACTAAATCGAAAAAAAAGCAAAAATAATTCGAAAAATCGCAACTACAAAACTTTCAAAGTTTTTTCTGCAATGATGTTTAATGAGGAAAACAACCGCAGAAACAAATAAGCACTCAAAGCCATTTATTGAGCGGTAACTAGGCCGGCACAAATTCTGTAGGTTCCCGTTGAGTTGAATCGAAAACTAAGTTAATGACATGAAACTTCTGAAATTCTAAATAGTAAAGTTCAGAATAAAATACGAAATAACAAGTTAAGAATAGAACGGCCAAGAAATTCTGCATTCACAAGAAAGGGATCTTAAGCCTTTTTTCACGTGATATCTTTTGCTGAGAGAGCTTATGTCATGTGATCCTGTGCCATGGTACTTTCTGGTTTTAATGTCAAAATTACCACAAATATTTTATACGTTTGCCTCAGATGATGCTTACATTGACTAAAACGTGTCGTGAATCATTACCTTGATAGACGCTAGTTGAACCAAAATTAAAAATTTTGCCATGAAAAAATTTGAAGAAAAAAATTTGAAACCCGACTATGATAAACGAAAAATTAAACATTTAATTTCATTTCAAACAACGCAAATTGAGGTGCTAATCTAATTCAATCAAATCAGAATATTCGAGGCCAAATAAACAAATAAACAAACCAAATTTAGTAAAATTAGCAGTTACAGGAAATAAAGAAAAACACAAAAACACGTATAAGCAGGGGCGGATCTAGGATTTTCTCGAGGGGGGGGGGGGGGCGGATTTTCAAAAAATTTTCCAAAATTTTGTCGACCTTTTTTTTTTATTAGGTCGACCAAATAGATTTTTCGAGCTCTCCCAAAGCACTGTTTTGCCCCTATTTTTGCAAAATTTTCTGCGCCGCAGGCAAATTTTTGAAAAAACAGTAAAAAAAAGCCGTTTTTGGGCACTTTTTGAAAAATTTTGACAAAAAATCGCGTTTTTTTGGCGCGCGCTCCCCCTCAAAGTTAGTATATATTGGCGCCGAAGGCGCCTTTAGAAAAATTTTAGGGTCGGTCGGCCAAAAATGGATTTCTGAAAAAGTATCAAAGGGGGGACCCTTTGGGTCGGCAGAGGGTCGAATCCCTGAGGGGGGGGGGGGGGGGCGTCCGCCCCCCCCCCCCCTATATCCGCCCCTGCGTATAAGTGCAATGAAAACCACTTGCAGCTCAAGAAAAATCCGAGGCAACTAGGTTAACAAAACATAAGCAGCCAAACAAAAGACAGACCATTTGCTTTAAATGGATTCTTTTTCGCTTGAAAAAAAAAGAACTGATCTTGGCCAGATTCAAACCCAGGACATTTGTCGGCCCAGGCCCATTTTTTGTATCTAGACCAAAGGCGCCAGACAAGCACAGATAACTAGCTTCATTTAAAACTAAACTAGCAAATGATTCAAAAGATTCAGTTAAACAAGTTGTTTAACCCAAAAAAAATAGATTCCGATTTGATAGCGCTCGCTAACGTAATCATTCGACAGCATGAGCCTTGCGTTCTTCGTACTTGATTTTGGGTAAAACCATTTTGTGGGTGATTAGAAAAAAAAATTTTCGTTACTCAAGTATAACACCAGCGCAAACTCGAATTGATAACCTTTTAGAAACAAATCGATCCAATTTAGTCATTCAGTAGCAAAATAGGAAGTGCAGAAAAAACCGAACTCACTTGACCATTCAACGGGGACGAAGTGGCTTTTTCTACAATGATATAGAAATCTATGCCAGGATGCAGACATGGAAAAAAAAATAGGCGAAAATCTGCAAAAACTCGATATTCAAAAGTACGCACGATCCATCGATCCTCAAACATCATAAATCACTAAATTAACACAGAGGCGAAAAGAGAGCTTCGCGCCACTTGTAATACAAAACTGAATGACTACAACTAATTGCACATCAACCGACAAATCGAATAATAAAAGCTTAAAAATGTTTTTTGTTTAGTGTAAAATTCCAAAAGAAACGAAATTTTGGAAGGAATTACTGCAACTTTAAAACTTTTACAAACAGAGGCGAAGGGAAGCCTCCCACTTCTTGCGATATACGACATAAATAGCTAATTGACAGAAACCGGCATGAGCAGCCGTGCCCGAGTGGTTAAGACGCGGAGCCTTTAACACAAACGTCGAGGATTCGAATCCCGCTTCCGTCTTGATTGGAGGAGTCCCAGTGTCATCCGCCTCCTCAAGGATTGCAAAATGGATTGCATCTCTCTCCTCCGCGGAGAAAAGACTCAAGCGTGAGTGGTGGGAGTTGGGCTGGAGGCTAATTACAGAAATAGGCAAAGAAAGCTTCGAGACTAAGTAACAATAATAAAATTTAGGTTCGAAAAAGCTCAAATTCAATTTTGATTTGGAAATGACATTCGCTGCTCTTATCCTATTCGAAGCTGTAAATGAGTCTGAAAAGCTTTAAGCTCATCTATAAGTTCTTGAATATATTTGAAATAACAAGAGAAAACCCATCCTAACCATAGTTCCTTCACCATCGTTGTCTAGTACATGTATTAAAAAAATCTACTACTCCTACTAGGTTTCAATACCTTTTGGTGATCGCAAACGCAATCAGTGCATAATTCAACCTGGAAATTGATGGCAGGTTTTTTGAAATATTTGGCGTCACTAAAAAGTTGCCTTATTTGGACCATACATAATTAAGGTATTTGACTTAAGAGCCTCCTTATCTTTCAGTATATTCGATCACATCACTTTGATGACACATACGAATAAAATCCGTGATCATAAACTCTTTAAAACTAAAAATGGAAAGCTAAAATAACACATACCATGAATTTTCTATTGAGGAGTTATACTTCTAAACCATTTATAAATAAATCTTCGAAATACTTTAACTAAATATTATGTATGTAAATTTTTCACGTTATCTCTAACAAACAATGCAGCTCCTCGCGAGGAATCGCTATCGGATATTACACATCCAGGGAAAATTTCCCGTACTAATTTATTCAACAGTTGGTTTTTTCTGAATATATTTCCAACCGCAACGACCTTATCGTAAAGCAACTTTCCGTTCGAAGCTTTAATGAACACGTCTCGTGCATTGTTAATAAGGCCTCTATGAATCGCCAAAGAAATTTGGCCTAGATTGCATGATAAAGAAGACAAGCATAATAGCGATGCATGGCTGGTACTTGCTGAAACTGAATGACTGTTCCGTTCTGAGTAAAGGTCGCCTTGAAACTGAACACCAGGGTTACGGCTACCTCTGCAATGTTCCAATATTCCAGCGTCAATAAAAACCTTGTAAATATCATCGATTGGCGGCGAACTTTTATCTGAATCATTTAACACTCCACATATTAAGGGTGCAAAAACATGCTCAACAAATTGTTCCAGATTATTCCCTCCATTCATTGATGCAAAAACAGCCAAAAACGTTTCACCAATATACGGAAAAAACTCAAGACCCTGCAACGCGCCATTTGTCATTAAAACAATCTCCTCCGAGGATAGAACTTTTCCAATTTGACATGAAGTACCCAAATTTAATACCAAACTGTCGGTACAGGATCTAATAACCGAGTAGAACGCACATTGAGTATCGCCCATCGGAACCAGAACTTTAACTCCTTCAGGAAAGCCAAGCACAGTGCTCTTTGTCAGTCCCATAATTGTACAATCTGACACGATCGAGGGAAGTGTTTCTACTGGAAATTTTCTCGCCCTAAGAGTATCATAATCGAACGAATTTTTTAACGGATCAAAATATCCGAAACTGTTGGCCAGTTGGCTCGTTGTTTTCACGGTATAGTTACGAGGACATCCTAAAAACATCCATGCGAAGAAATCCATGATCGAGCCCCAATACTTTCCTGACATTTTAGATGATGATGAGCCATAATTTTCAAACAAAAGAGATGCAAGTCCATAGCCGGGATGAATCGAAGGATTTTCAGCCAAAAAAGTATCAGTCAACCTCTGATCTTCCCAGGTTATTAAATTTGAAACCCTAGCACTTTCCAAGACTGATTCCAAATCAGCAGATAAGTCGAAAGAAACATCTTCCCATGTCACTATGCCGTGCATTTGACCAGTCATTATTACATGATCGACATCATTCAAATGGAGCAGTATATTTGTCGTGGCAGCTTTCAAGTTATCAAAAATTTTATAAGGCGACTGCTCTCTATACCCCGGAGGCAGACCAACAACATCAGCGTTGCTTTCTAATTGTTGTGATGCAATTGAGTCATTTTCCGAGCCATAAACCGGCAGTACGGAGACTTTCAACGAAGCAGTGCCAAAATCGATTGCACAAATCATTTCCTCAAATGAAACAAAAACTTTCAAATCAAAAATTTTTAAAAATTCAACAATATGCAGAGAAGAACACGGATAGCCGGCTACTGGGAAGGAGCACAGAATGTTACGACCAGATGTAACATTCGCCCGGAAGATACATATCGACGGATAACAAAACTAAGTCTTAAGACGACTGGCTAGCGTCTAAACAGAGCTTTGCATGTTTTTCACCGTCTCTACCAAGCCAGTACTTTTCGGTGGTCTTTCTTACATCAGGCTGACAAAAACGTTACTGTTCTCCGGCTTCGACCAGAACGCTCAAATTAACTGAATTACATGCAAAAATAGTGAGCTCATGGCTGGGTCTCAGTATCCCCAGACCACGAGGTCACTCCTAAAAACAGGGCTACTACTTATTATATTACTATTGTTTTTGTTCAGTAGATAAAAATCATCATCTCCATCGAAGATGGATCAACCCTTTCCCCCCTACTTCTAGCTCCTCATTCTTGTCAAAACGAATTAAGATCTTAATTAAATTCAAGTCAGGACATGACGGATGCTAAAATTCAATATAAGTTCATAAAAGTCCACGTCCCGAGACCCTTCCGGATTCTTGAATCCGGTGAATCAAGCTTCTTAATATCCAGTTCACAATAACTCGGAAGGCTGGGTTTTACCCTTCACCGTTGCTCGCAACGGCCTTGCAACTATTGTAACAGCACAATAGTTGCAACTCGGAACGTCCTCTGCTGTTCGGTATGTAACATTCGCCCGGAAGATACATATCGACGGATAACAAAACTAAGTCTTAAGACGACTGGCTAGCGTCTAAACAGAGCTTTGCATGTTTTTCACCGTCTCTACCAAGCCAGTACTTTTCGGTGGTCTTTCTTACATCAGGCTGACAAAAACGTTACTGTTCTCCGGCTTCGACCAGAACGCTCAAATTAACTAGATTACATGCAAAAATAGTGAGCTCATGGCTGGGTCTCAGTATCCCCAGACCACGAGGTCACTCCTAAAAACAGGGCTACTACTTATTATATTACTATTGTTTTTGTTCAGTAGATAAAAATCATCATCTCCATCGAAGATGGATCAACCCTTTCCCCCCTACTTCTAGCTCCTCATTCTTGTCAAAACGAATTAAGATCTTAATTAAATTCAAGTCAGGACATGACGGATGCTAAAATTCAATATAAGTTCATAAAAGTCCACGTCCCGAGACCCTTCCGGATTCTTGAATCCGGTGAATCAAGCTTCTTAATATCCAGTTCACAATAACTCGGAAGGCTGGGTTTTACCCTTCACCGTTGCTCGCAACGGCCTTGCAACTATTGTAACAGCACAATAGTTGCAACTCGGAACGTCCTCTGCTGTTCGGTAGTTCGTTGTAGTTTTTTAGTCTCGATTTCGTACTGTTCTTAATCGCAGATAAAAGTTGTTCTGTTTTTTCTTGCTCTTTTTGCTAAAAATGGCCGTTTCTGACGTTTCTCAGAAATATGACGTCACAATTCGAATTTTTAAAAATTAGAATTCCAGAATCTTCCAGCCTTCACCGTTTGGCTAATCGTTCAAATAACGTCCTTATCCGTTCTAAATCACCAATTCGGAAGGCTTGCTGCTAAAATACCGAATTCTGCAGAGACTGCATTTTGGCCATTCTGGTCGAATGTCACATACTCCCCGGACAGTCCGGTCAATGTCCTCATTGAATCGCGCAATGTTCTAAGTGGTTACAGTGTCATCGAACAGAATTTACAAAATGCACGAAATTACTTTTACCTACGTCACATCGACTCACTGCAGAATATAAATGGCATCATCCTACATCACTATAGCCTTCAAATTCTTTCATTAATCTGCACATTGAGGATATGACTTAAGATAAAACATATTTTCTGACTTCCAGTGTCAATATCCCGATTGAAACTTTTTCTCCTAGATTTAAAAGGTGTTGGCTTGCAGGACAGTCCTGCCAACCAACAAGCTAAAATTATCCTACTATGCTCCTTCCCTTCGGAAATCTTGCTTGTTTATTGTCCTGAATATTAAAACTAAGGAACTTTGTGGTTAGAAAGAACAATGCAACAACCTCCCTCCTCAAGAAGTTACTCAAGTTTTTCATGTCACCACAAAGTGATCAGTCTTCCTAAGTGATTAAAAACAATCATGCAGGCTGGAATATTTAAATATACTCTTCCCTCAAGCCTTTCTAAATAAATAATAAGTGAGTGTCTCTAAAGCCACTTCAACTAAAACCAAAATGCAAATATATAAATGCAACAATTTCCAAACTCAACTTAAATGTTTCAGTTTTCAATTACAACTTGGTTGCTTGGTTTCTCATTTGAGTTTTTCACACACATAAAACAATTTTGAGTTTTAACTTTTCTTCATCATCCCTTTGTTCTCTTCTTTTTTCGTCGTTTAGAAGTTCTAAAACTTCTAAATTCTTCTAATTTTCTTTCTTGTTGCCTCTTGTTTTCTCGACCATTCATCCATGCTCCATTTCCTCCTCCTGTGACGCTGACTCTGCACTCTCGGTCTCCGTGTCTTGTAGCACGTCATTGACTATCCTGACGCTGTTGGAAGCCGTCCTCCAACACTTCTGCTCTTCCACCCTCTGTTTACAGCAAGGTAGGGGATCCACGTTTGATTCTCTGTTTCTACAGAAGCTGTTGTGGAGACACAACGTCACGTTTCTCTCCAAATCTTCTTTCAGCATCTCTGCCTTCTCATTTCCACTACGCTCGCTCGTCCTGGAAATTCTTTTCACAGCGGTGGTCACTGCATTCCGATGGGTCACGAAAGCTCGCTTGAAAGCTCCTGCCCCAATGTCCAGCTGATATTCACTGTACACTCTGCCATGTTTCGACATATGCTTTTTCGCATACTCGTACAACCATGCAGTCATGTTAGCTCTGAACCATGGCATCAATCGTTTTCTTGCCCATATCTTCTTCACTTCCATCGGAATGTTTAGAACTTTGCACATTGTCTCAAAAAGATCTAAATCTTTTAGACAATCTAATTTCTGCAATTGTTCTCTCGTCGGTGCTTCCTGTCTATTATTTTCTCTCACATGAGCTTCCAGCCATCGTATCGCCATCATAACTCCCACTATCACTATTGTTATGGGCTGTGATGAATCTGGTAAACCCATGGAGAGCAGCTCTCCAGAGTCCCAGATCAACACCAGATTACTACGCTTGGGATACCACCAGGTCTGCAGCAAGCAGTGGCAAGGAAACTCATCATGCGTCAACATGATGCTCCTCCAATTACGTTTTCCCGAAGCTTCCAGCAATGGTTCCACTTCCATCATCACTCGGTGGATTTCATCATTCTCATCTACTGCATTGTAATCTGTGACAGTTGATCCTCTCTGTTTCTGTTTTTCAAAGTCACTGAAGTTCCCGCTCACATATCCCATGAATTTCTTTCCTAGTATTGACTCCAACTCTTCTTTGGTTCTTTCTAGAACTGCTGAGAAAATCTTACACAGTAACTCGTAAGACTTTTCAGACATTCTTGCCAACCTCACGCACTTCGGCACTGAAAAAGCTTGATCCACGATCGTTCTTGTGCTCTTCACGTCCACAGCCACGAAATGTACAGGGTATCTGCTCTTGCACATTGGAGCCAACGTTGAACCCACCAAATATCGTGCTCCTGATGGTCTACAATAAGTTTCGCTGTGTCTGATGTTCATCTCCGTTTCGATTGCTTCCCTCCATTTTCCTATATACTTCTGCTCAGTCTGCAGAACTCCTGGGAATACCTCTACGCTGATGGCTGTGACCATCTCATGTTTCTGTTCTAGATTCAATAGTGACTCTAAAGAACCAAACATGCTGTAGAATCCTAGTGCTGTCACTAGATTCACATCGGTTCCTCCATGGCAATCTGCTATCAGTTCCGTTTCCGTTCTTGCTTTCATCACTACATTTCCAAACAATACCGTCAACTGCTTGTGTTGTTTCTCCAGGGTTTTCACACAGTCTAGACTTCCACAAACGTGACCCTCTAGTCCACAGACTTCCGCCAGACAGCTACCAGGTTTGACCCAGTCTTCTGGTCCCCAGCCAGGCAACTCCACTTTATCTTCTCCGTTTCTCTTAGAGGCTGTTATCATCATATTATATATGATGTTGAGGTCACGCAGGTTACAGTCCGCATTCAGTTCCCTCTGTATGTCCTGTGTCGCCCGTAATATTGAGTCAGCGTTGGGACTAGGACACCACGATGGCTTCATCAATTCCCACACTGCCATCAAGCTCGTTCTCAGTAATTCATCTGAGAATCCCAACCCAAATTCCACTCTCTTGTCGGATTTTGGTACTGAAGGTGCAGTCACCTCTTCTTCCAAGACCAGTCCCAATTTGGCCTGTGAATTGTTGACGCTTTTAATCGTTACAATCCTGGACGTCCAGAATCTTAGTAACACCGCCTGCTCATAATCAAAGAAGCAATCGCGTATGTCTTCACTCAGGAAAGGATTGTACGCTATCCCTATGATCCCGGATACATAGCTATATGACTTCTTCTTGATCGGTCCACAGTATTCACTGGATTTCGGCAATGCTCCCATAGATTCTTTAGTGAGCCTCAACTCCTTGTTTGAGAATCTCCTGATCTCGTCTATCTTTTTCATGGGTTCCAATTCTTCAGGTTCTTTCATGTTCACCCTCATCGGTTTACTTTGCTGCATATCCAGCATTGCTAGTAAGAACATGGCTTTCGTTCGCTCATCGCCTTCCTTCAACATTTTAACACAAGTGCTTAATGCAGGTACTGAGATCTGCTCTATCAGGAATCGAATGAAACAGAGAGCGTCTCTCCGCTTTGCACACGCTACTGCTGCTCCCTCCTGGACTATCAAATCCCTCAGATTCGTCATAAGGAAAACTTTTTCTTCGTACTTCTCAACTGATCGTTCATCTCGTCCAGATCTTGTATGGTTTGGTTCGTCTGAACCTTCTGTGTTACTTTCGCCCCTTTTGGTGGCACAGCTGCTCTCAGTGGTAAACCAGACGAGGTCGCCTCGCTGTTCATCTCCCGATGCATTCTCGTCAGTTTCACCT